GCTTTAAATATTTGGTTTTAATTGGTTTTACTTCGGTGGGGTTGTAAATGCGTTTATGTTTTTTAATATGTTGTGAGCCGCCCTGAGTCCCGTTGGGAGAAGGGCGGGATATAAATCAAATAAAATAAATAAATAAAATAAATAAACCCCGACAGCTGTTTAGAAAACACACGGGACGGGGCCTCTGCGAAGGCTACGCTTGAGGTCATCCAAAAGCAGAAAGGATGGGGGGGGAGAAGGAGATTCCCCCCCCCTCTACTCTGTGGCAACCCCCAGAACCAGAAGGCTCACTCACCATAGGCCATTTGTTTGGTCGAAAGGGGTGATCGCCCATCTTCACTTATGGTTACAAGCCCTTGATCAGCTTTCCTAAAACAGGATGCAGAGGAAGCGGGGAACTCGTTGAGCTCCTCAAAATAACAACAACAACAACAACAACAACAACAACAATAATAATAGTAAAGTTGGAAGGGACCTTGAAGGTCATCTAGTCCAACCCCCTGCTCAGGCAGGAAACCCTATACCATTTTGGACAAATGGCTGTCCAGTCTCTTCTTAAAAACTTCCAGTGTTGGAGCATTCACCGCTTCTGGAGGCAGGTGGTTCCACTGGTTAATTGTTCTAACTGTCAGGAAGTTTCTCCTTAGTTCTAGGTTGCTTCTCTCCTTGATTAGTTTCCATCCATTGCTTCTTCTCCTGCCTTCAGGGGCTTTGGAGAATAACCTGACTCCCTCTTCTTTGGGGCAGCCCCTGAGATACTGGAAGACTGCTATCCTGTCCCCCCTCGTCCTTCTCTTCGTTAAACTAGACATCCCCAATTACAGCAACCGTTCCTTGTATGTTTTAGCCTCCAGACCTCTAATCATCTTTGTTGCTCTTCTCTGTACTTTCTAGAGTCTCAGCATCTTTTTTTACATCATGGTGACCCAAACTGGATGCCGTATTCCAAGCGTGGCCTTACCAAGGCCTTGTAAAGTGGTATTAACACTTCACGTGATCTTGATTCTATCCCTCTGTTAATGCAGCCTAGCACTGTGTTGGCCTTTTTGGCAGCTAAAATTGGCCTCCTCCGCTGACTACAGTCCCCTCCCCAGTTCTTTTTGGATTCTTTGTCCCGTTTGGTTTCAAGGAACAAAATTTCATCTTGAATTAATGCCATCCCTAACCCTAACTCTATCACGCAACCCCTCTGTCTTACTTGAGGAGCTTGAAGTGAGCAAAACGGAAGGCTTCCTGCAGCAAGACAGACACCGTTGCCCCAAACATCAGCAGGAGATGCTGCAGCCGCTTGTTCTCCTGGTCACTCAGGTGAATGGAAATGATCCAGACCAGGGAAGCCAAGAGAAGGGAGACCAACCAAAAGAAGGCCCTGGATTTGGAAAAAAAAAAAAGAAAAGAAAAGAAAAAACCAGTCATTTCTCTTGGAAGATGCTTCCTGTGGGTTTTGAAAAGATGCCCCTGACATTTCAACTCAACCTGCATCAACTATGCAGTCTGAACTATTATTTATAGTGTTTTGCATAATTTACATTGTTTCTACCCATTTTTTTTAAAAAAAACAACAACCAGCAATCCACCAAGTTTGCTCTAGAAGTCTATTTTAGTCCTTTCACCGGCTTGTGAAATTACAGACAGTATCCCTTCCTTTTCAGGCCTAATTTTGGAATTCCAAAGGCTACTTTTTTTAAAAAAAAGTTCATTTTTAACACGGTCAAGGAGCTGGAATTGTCACATGGCGTTTCGTTTTTTTAATTTTGGTTCAACATCCTAATATATGCCAGAGCTTGTTATGAGTTTTGCTGACGACACTCATCAAACCTGAGAAGAACGTTTTATTTCTGGAAGACCACAAATTTCAAGGACGAAACAAAGCAACTTTGATAATAAAAGAAGGCAGATGAGGCAGATGAGGCTGACATCTAGAAGTCCCACCTGTCTAGCCCTGATGAAATGACCCAGTTAGGGCAATGAAACGTCTGAAAGAAAAGAACCAAGCCCGGAGAGCACCAAGGAGTCCGACCTTAACCAAAGCCGGACTTGGTTCTCAGAAGCTCCGAATCCTCTGCCCGGCGGCTTCCGAACTCGGAAGGGTCGCATCTTCCCTAGACTGTCGGACGGTTGATTCCCCTCTCCGGGGATTCAAAGGAAGGGGAGCCCAAGGCCGCTTGTAGGAAAGAGGGAAGGCCTTGCCCTGGGTCTCCCCTGCCTCGCTCGCCGCCGAAGCGCTGGGCACCGAGGGCAGCGAGCGGGGCCGGGGCGAGCAACGTTTTGTTCACCGCCCGCGTAAAGGCCACCTCTCTCTCTCCCGGGCGCCCACTTTCTCACAGTCGGACGTCCGCCTGTTGTACCCCACGAGCACGGGGGTCTCCCGCGGCAGCTCCCCACGCCGCAAACGGGTCTTCGAGGGGTTCTGCTCCCCGCCTTTCCCGCCAGGACGCCCCCCGACGGGCCCCGCCGCCTACAGCCCGCCACAGCTAGCCTCGCCGCCCCGCTGAACTGGGGAGGGGGCCCCGCCGGCCCTTCGCCCGCCCCGCCCGCCCCGCCGGGCCCGCCCTGACCCTGCCACGAGGATAATGACGCGCAGGGGGTCCCCGGCCACAGTCAGAAGGCAGAGCGCCAGCGCCGGCCCGAAGGCGATGAAGGAGCAGCCGAAAAACACCGACGCCCCCATCGCGCCTCGGCAGGAGGAGGGAGGAAGGAGGAGGAGGAGGAGGGAGGAGCCAGGGTAGGACTGGGACGCCCCTGGGCGGAGCTTCCCGCACGGGCACCCTGGGAGCTAGTCCCCCCCCCCGGGGGAGGACACGCGCCCGATCGGGGCCGTCTGAGCTCGCAGCAGGCGGGTGTCACCTGCTGGCGCATCGCTAGGGGCGCCTCCTGCCCCTCTCCTGCAGACCGAGGCGGGCGGTCGCGGAGCGCCGAGGACCGCGCGGCATTCGGGCATCTCTAAGGCACCTTTTCGGGAGGGGTGGAGGTCTGGAACTGCGGCCACGAGCGGGGCCCTGGCCGGCGGATTCCGCCTCTGCCCTACCCGGGCACCGGGCGCCACGCCCCGTCCGTCTCCTCCGCTCAGCGCAGGGCCGGGTGGCCATCCTGGACCCGGGAGCCAGAGGCAGAAGCGGCCCCGGCTTTTGCGAAGATTCCCGGTTGGCAGAAGAAGAGCCGCGTGCGAGAAGGAAGCCGGCACACGCAGGAAAGAAGGAAACGATGAATTATGGGCATTGGCCAGGATTTGATGATAATTCTGGAAAATCCTTTGGAAGGAATAGAAATATAAATGAAAAAACAATAAAGGATATTGGTGCATTAACTGGATTTAAAATGAACAATGAGAAAACAAAGATGTTAAACATTAAGGATGGAAGAGCAGAAACCATTGATGGAAAGATGGTTAAAGCTTGGGACAAAACGGGAAAGTGGAGAAATGGGATGAATAGTAATGAGTATTATTATTACTAATACAGTACTAATACACATCCGGTGAGAAAACAACCGAGTTGAGACCAGGAAGGACCACGCACAATGTATCTTTTTAAAAGGCAGATTACGAACGTTAAGACACGGGTCATCCAGGATGGAAACAGGCAGCAGTTTGACAGTGAGCAGATACAGAGCACCAAAGGAGGCTGGACAGTACACCTGCCCCTACCTCCCAAAACTGCAGACACGGAGGCAAAGAATATTCTGCCGTTCCCACCGTTACCTTGATCATCAAAGCAGTGGTTTTTTTTTTAAGCCTCTAGTCCAGTGGTGGCGAACCTATGGCACGTGTGCCAGAGGCAGCACTCGGAGCCCTGTCTGTGGGCACATGCGCCATGCCCCAGAGATGGCAACCATTCTCTTCAACCAGCCGCCCGCTAACTTGCCGAGATCCAATGTGGCCGGATGCATCCCAGCACCTATGCGCTTGCTGGCCTTTATGTGCGGGGGCCGATGGGTGTCAGGCAGCAGCCATCCCGGCCCCTGCCTCGCCTTGCCCTGCGACACGGCACCCCCATCTTGCCTCGCCTCACCCCGCAGACCCAGCCTCCTGCCCACCAGCCCACCCGCCAGAGAGCCCTGGATCTCCCCCAACCCTGCCTGGCCCCCACAGGCGTCCCTCCCCAGGAGCAACATAGAGCTGGCCATGCCCACCCGTCTGCCATGCCCACTATAGCCACGCCCACCCAGCGGGCCATGCCCAGCAATACAGAAGTGGGTTTTGGGTTGAAGTTTTGGGCACTGGGTCTCTAAAAGGTTCGCCATCACTGAGTCTAGTCTGCCCAGTTAGAACAATTAACCCGTGGAACCACCTGCCTCCAGAAGCGGTGAATGCTCCAACACTGGAGGTTTTTAAGAAGAGACTAGACAGCCATTTGTCCGAAATGGTGTAGGGCCACCTGCCTGAGCAGGGGGTTGGACTAGAGGACCTCCAAGGTCCCTTCCAACTTTACTATTATTATTATGATTTATTTACGCAGAGAAAGCAACGTGAAAGACGGTGCCGCAATGATTTGTGTTGCTCTGTAACGCGCAGGCGGCCCTTTTTTCAGAGAAAGAGCGGCGGGGGGGGGGGAAACAAAAACTTCAGAGCCTCGCTGTCCGCAGGGGACCAGGGGACAGAGGACCCCGGCCCTCCTCCCTTGCTCGGCAGCCCCGCCCACAGCCGCGCGTGGCTTGCAGAGCGCCTCGGGCGCGCACAAAAGGAGACGTCGGCGCCCCAGGAGCGACGGAGGGGAAGGGGAGTAGGGGAAGGGGGGGAGCCCTGCGCGTCCAGCCAATCGGCTCCCAGGGGCGGGGAGCGCCGTCGCGAGCCACGCCGGGAGAGGCGGGGCATCTGCCAGGGGGCCCCGTGCACCGTGTCATGGAGGCTCAGTGTGCGAGCGGCCATTGAAGGGAAGGGAGCTGCGTGTTTCGCAACCGGAGGAGGGAATCGGGGGGTGGCCGAGCAGCCCGGAGTTCCCAACTCCGCTTCTTGCACCGCCTTCGGAGGGCCCTTTGTGGAGCAGCCGAGAGGGGTGGGGGGAGACCCTCTCCTTTAATTTGGCTCTCCTTCTCCGCCTCCTGGCCACGCATCCCCTCGCCTGCCTGCCTGCCGGGTGATCTCCTTAGGTAGTTGTGCGCCCCTCCCTCGCTCTCCACTTTGGAGCGGCTTTATCCCAGATGGAGATGAAAAAGCTGGACATGAAGAAGCGCTTTAACCTGGAGTTGAGGAACCGCGCGCCCGAGAAGGTGAGGACAAACCTCCTGGGGAGGCAGGAAAGGGAAGATCTTTCCCAGATCCCCAGGATTTCCACCCCCCTCGCGCCTCCATCGTGCCGGAAGCGCGCGGGGACCGATGCGCGGCGGCGGCGGCGGACCAGGGCGCGTGGGTGGGGGGAGCTTAGCAGCAGAGCGGCCCCCGGAGCCGTCTCCTTCCAGCCCCCCCCGGTGGGCGTCCCTCCTTTTACGGGCTCTTATCCAGGGCTGGGCTTTTTCTCTGCGAGGCCTGGCGTCGGTCAACCAGCTTTTCTGGACTTTTCTCTCCCGCTTCCCACGTTTTCTCCAGCGCGCCATCAAATCGCCAGGACGCGAGGTTGCTCCTGCCTTTTCCGTACTCTACCCTAAAGGGGGTTGTTGGAAGCCCCGAGGCAAGAGGCCGAGCTGGTTAACTCTTCCCTTCCCAACGCCGCCTGGGCTCGGGGCAGTCCCCGCCGCGCAACCTCTTCTCTTCCCCGCCCCGTAAGCCAGTTAATTAAAAAAAATAAGCGGAGGCTCCAGATCCGAGGAGAACCGAGCGCAAGAAAGGAGGTTCCCAAGTTAAAACTTTCCTCCTCTCTTCCCCCCCCCCCCGCCCCGCTTTTGCAGCTAACTGCTCTTTCGTCAAATCTAGGTTAGGCGACCTCAACTGTGAAAAAGATCGTAGTGAGTTTTTCGCGCTTCCTTCCTTCCTCCCTCCCATCCAGCAAATGGCCTGTTGGGGTTTTTTTTTCTTCCCCTTTCTCGTGCAGAAAAAAAAACAAAACCCAGATCGTCCGCGTCTGGTTTGAGTGAGGGTGGAAAGGCTGTGGATTCCGCTGACTCTCGTAGCCTCGAATGTACTTTACACAAACGGTGGTAAACAACCCCTGGCTGCAGCTGAATCCATCTTAGTCTCTTCTACGCAGATGAATTAAGACTCCTTCCTCTAGACTAGAGCCGGTGGAGGAAGGGTGGACCCATTTCTTTAAAAAGCAGAACGGGCCACGGCTCCTTTCCAGGCAGACATTTTCAACGGGGTTTATAATCTCTCTCAAACACCGAGGGCAGCAATCAGCTCTGCCCCAAGAGCAGCCATGGATGGGCAACGCCCCTCCCTGTTGCTTGAAACCTCATGCCTGGGTGGTCGAGGAGATAAGGCCGGTGGAGAGAGGCTGATGATAAGCTATGCCTGCCTGCCTGCCTGCCTGGGGCTTCTGTGCCTCTGGAGCGTTCACAAAGGCGGCGAGAGTGTGCCCACCTCCTGCCCTAAGGTGGGATGGCATATACGGCCGCCACGGCCCTAGGTCACCAGCTGGCTGCAGACAGAGGGAGCTTTAATCCAGCCTGTCCCAAGAGCACAAGATGGAGAACGGTGGAGGGAGCCGAGTAGCGAGGAAGAATAACCCACCAGAGAGGAGAAGCAGGAAACCTCTCATGCCACAGGAGTGCCAGTGGCCAGAGCACCGCAGAACATGCCAGGGGTGCTCTGCCATAGTTCCCTGCCGGAAGAAGAGGCAGTCCCCAAAGCAGCTGTGTGGTTGGTGGGACGAGCCCAAAGCCTTGCTTTGTGCTTCTCGGTCTGGCCCATTGGGGCTTCCCCAGAATTCCTCGTCCTCCCTCCTTCCCCCTCCGCTGCATGGGATCAAATGGAGGATCTGCACCCATTGGGAGGGAGGGAGTCTGCCTCAGCGCTTGAGATTTCTTTGAGCATGAGGTTCTTTGGAAGATTGTCAAAGGCTCCCCTAACGGAAAAGCGGTGGTTCTTGTAAAATGCGCCCCAAGACGGCATCTTCCCTGCTGACGGACGACGGGAGCTGTCCTTGCCCTTCTTCAGAAGGTGCAGCTAAAGAACTAACAGGCATCCCTGTGCCCATAATGCACAGCACACCACGAGCCCCTTCCCTAGTGCATTCCTGAGAATAAATGTGAAAAGTTCTTTACTCGCCAAATATCGCACGGTGTTTTCTAGAGAAGAAACGGGTGCTTCTTGTGGTACCTAGTAAAAATAAAAGATACCGCTGTTGTTAAAAGCTTGGCAAATCTGGCTTAAAAAGAGAGTGACACTACAAAGTGTGTCATGAACACTTCTTAGGTTGGATCCCGGAGACAGCCCCAGCCCCTTCGGGAGTTCCCCTGCCCAAATCAACACGAGGAAATGCTGTAACTTAAGAAAGCGCTTGCTATGTTTTTATGAATATGAAGGCAATGGTTACATTAGGCTTCTATGTCTCCTTTCGCAGTGGTGTCAGAATGTTTTCTATTTGGAATAAAAAGTTTCTAGTTATTATTACTAAAAATGTTGCTACTGTATCTGTCCAAGTTTGAAGACCTTTCCTTCAAGGCAGTTGTTTTTTTTTTTAAAGGCTTTGCTATATCTGAGTCTGACCTGTCTCACAGTATTTAAAAAAAATGTTTTAATTCTATTACATATGATGCTATTTATTTATTTAAACAAATATTAACTTTGAAGCCATTTAGAGATCCTTTCGGGGTCCAAAGCTAAATATATTAACAAATCACATGTGTCTAAAATTAATCCAAATGACAAATCTTGTTAGTCATAAAGTTTGCAAGAGAAAGATGGAAAATACTCCTATGTAACAAATGAAATGTGGTGTTCTATCATCTGTGCGATAGACTCAGACTTTTCTCCAACTCAAAGGCAAATGTGCTGCCCTTTTAGGTGGCGGAGCTGGTGCTTGACAACTGCCGTTCTGGCAATGGTGAAATTGAAGGCCTGAATGACTCATTCAAAGAGCTGGAATTTCTCAGCATGGCCAACACAGAGTTGACCTCTTTGGCCAAACTCCCTACTCTGACGAAGCTCCGAAGGGTGAGTGTTAGGTTATGGCATGGATGGTGTACAAATTTTAATGTCCATGCAGTCTTTTGCGTAAGAATCTTGTCAATGATAATAATCTATATAAATAAAAATGTAAATGTTCGTTTGTTCAACATCTTAAATCTCCGAAAGTTCTTCACCGATTGCTTTGAAATTTTGACACAACGTTGCATTCGAATACGCGCGTGTTTTTATATACCTACTATTATATAGATCGTGCGCTTTCTCTTTTCTTTCTTTTCTATTTAACCAGACTGAGCCACAGCAACACGTGGCCGGGTACAGCTAGTTAGTAATATATGTCGCCTAACTATTATGCCCGCTGTACCATGAAAACATATATATTTGCTTAGGTAACTCTTTATGAGAGAATGTGTAGATTTCAGAGTTAACCCCACTGACTGGTATGTTTTATGCTGTAGCTGGAATTGAGTGACAATCTAATTTCCGGCGGTCTAGAAGTCCTGGCAGAGAGATGTCCAAATCTTACAGACCTAAATTTGAGCGGCAACAAAATCAAGGATCTCAGCGCTGTTGAAACTCTTGTAAGTATAGAATTGGATGGGGAGGGGAGGGGATTGAGAGAGGTGTTAAGATGTACTTGGTATAGTGATCACTGAATCAAGGCCAACGTATTTAAGGTGCCTTGGAAAAATGTAACATCGTTGTTTGAATAATTGGTCTCATAACTACTGCTGTAGGTGATGTGATGGTGAGTGTACCTTGACTAAATCCGAACAGTTTAAAAGAGCTTTACAGGTCTTTTCTAAGAGGAGGCCCTCCCAATGTGTTGGGTTACAAATTGCACCATCTTCGGCGATGCATTCCATCCAATTTGGAGGGCACCAACTCGCAGAGAACTGCTCTAAACTGATCCCTGGCAGATCAGAATAAAAAAGGAACCAACCACAACTGTGCAGGCATTTGCACGAATTTTCCTTTTCTTGTTATCTAGCTGCTATTTCTAGCTAATACTTCAAGTCAGGTTTGGGTTCCATGCTGATGTGAATGCTGCTATGTATATCACATCTCAGGCAGAATTACTCAACCTGGTCACTGACCAAGAAGCTGTTTTTCATTCCAGCATACAAACTGAGTTGGCGCCAACGTAGAAAACTATGAAGGGTAGTTTCAGTTCTCTTATTGTCTTGGCCACCCCCCCGCCGCCGCCGCCATGGATACATAGCAGAGTAACTTGATTTAGCAACTTAATAAATAACCTCTCTGTTTTTCCTAATTTTTTAGCAAAATCTGAAGAACCTGAAAAGCCTCGATCTGTTTAACTGCGAGATCACAAATCTGGAAGATTACAGAGAAAGTGTGTTTGAACTGCTCCACCAAATCACGTATCTAGATGGGTTTGATCAGGATGATAACGAGGGCCTGGATTCAGAAGAGGAAGACGAGGATGGTAATTGCTCGTTTGAATATTTACTATGAATATGTTCGAGCTATCGGTAGGAAACAAATACCTGAAATATGGAAATTGGCCAGAGATCAAAGTACGCTATTCAAACTATACATGCTCTACATACTCATAAAACAATGATTTTCCTTACAGAGGGAAATAAATCTTGCAGTTAACAAAATTACATTTCCTATAAATATGCATTTTTAGAAGTAGTTGGTTGTATAGTACCAGGTCTGTTCGGCAGTTTGGTTTATGCCCTCCCTGTGACTTGCAGCCTTTCAGAGGCAAGGGACTACTTGGTTGAGCATTCTACTTCCGCCACCCTCCTACCTTCCTTGAGAAGTGGGTTCTTATTTCAGTGAGTGCTGGATTCGAACTCTTGACTTCTAAGTTAGGAGTGAAGGAGACAGCATGCCTTTATTCACTTTTCCTTCAGATGGGGATGAAGATGAGGATGAAGATGAGGACAAAGCTGGTCCCCCAGGCGAATATGAGGAAAATGAAGATGACGATGCTTCAGACTTGTGGGAGGGGGAAGAGGAAGAGGAAGAGGAAGTGGGTCTTTCATATTTGATGAAAGAAGAGATTCAGGTTACAACAACTTACTGTTCATTTGCAAAGCGTTTACCCTTACTAACTTGGCTTCGTATTTGAAAGCCCTCCACAGGTTTTCTCCTGCCATAGCATAAGTGGATATTCACCGTTTTCAAGCTTTAGAAAAAAAGTCAAACGTGCCACCTTCCTTGATCTATTTCTTTTTTCTTAGTTTGTATTTTATGCTTTTTTTATTCCTTCATATCCACCGGCTTCATCTCTCTTCACTATATTTGTCAGGAGAACCATCAGGCTTTTTTAAAAAATGTATCTTACAAACTGCTTTTTAAATCATCTAAACTGGTATTTCAATTGAAATATGACTTAAGTTCCCACAAGCAGGATCTGGGTCTGGGTTACAGTGGTAATGTATTTTTTAGGCAAAAATTTATTAGGTGTAATATAGCTCACCCTTCAGCTTGGTATCTGCATGGTAATCAGCTGAGAACTATATAAGGTAGAATTAAAAACCTTCGGACAGATATGAGGAAAGATGGCACAGCTACTAAATTACCACAATTAACAACTATTGCTTTAAGGGGTTGTTTAACCCTAGTTTTGATTTTCACTCTATTTACATGGAAAATGTGTACTTATTTACTAAGTTTTGTAAGTTTAGTTAAATGGCACCTTAGTAATTTTGAATTTATTTCTGAAATCATTAACTTGTTTCTCTAAAGGATGAAGAGGATGATGATGATTACGTAGAGGAGCGAGAGAATGAGGAAGAAGGTAAACTTCATATTCAGCCTTTGACTTTTTTAGTTTTACTCCTCTGGATTCAAAATTTGCCTTCTCTGATAGTAGTTTCCTCTCAGAACAAAAAGAACTTTCATAAATTTTGTTAGCTGGGATGAAGTTAGTCTTATCATTTAACTTACAATGAATTCTTGGTTCATTTGAGCTTCTAAACTACTTGTTTAATACTACTTAAATCTAAGTTTTACAGAGATAAATTGATAAAAGATTTTTAGCAGATTCATTGATATTTTAAAAGTGTGAGTTGCCATTATATGCAATTGTTCAGAAGTGATGAAAATAAGTGTACAACAGTGTGCGGGAATCACTGCCTCTTAATTTTCCTTTGGACATGTCTAAAAATTCTTTCCCACAGACGCCGCTGTCAGGGGGGAGAAGAGAAAACGTGCAGCTGAAGACGAAGGAGATGACGACGACGATTAAGTCATAGAAAATACAAATAGGACCCGATTCATTTTTGTTGGAATTATGCAATAGTGATATGCAGATTTGTAAGGCTCCATGTATGATAGGTCTCTACAAAAGATATTAATGTGTTTAACTTTTTATAGGAAGTGTTTTACTGTTGCCCTTTTTATCATTCCAACTAAGACATAATAATCCATCCGTTTTACTCACTGAAGCAGTTGTCCCTATTTCCTGCCTAGAAATTTTATTCCTCCCATTTTTTTCTTGTTTCTTCATTATGAGCATGCTGTTAACCCTAGTCAGTTACTTCAGATGGATTGAACAGATTTAATATAAACTTTTAAGAGAGCATGCTCATGTCAAATATACAGGAGTAAGATAACCAACTCTTCACTGGAAAGGACTATGTTGCAACTGAAATGGGAATTAGGTGATCTGGAACTCGCATTTTACCTATCATTTCATTTTAAAAGGATATCTGAATAATGCACTGAATTCCTAGTTCATTTTCTGTGTGGTTAGTCTCTTTCTCTCTCACACACACACACAGAGAGACTTTTCTAGTAGATAACTTTAAACAAGACTGGAATACAGTTCTCTATTTTAGTCTCACTCTTCCAAACAAACTATAAACTGGAAATAATTATAGTTCATTCAAGATTATAATTTCTTCATGATCCTTCATGACCCTTTTGACCATTCCTCTAGACTTAAAAAAAAAGATTCATAGCTTACATGCATATTTCAGAATTCTTTTGTTCTAGTTAAAATTGAACAGTCATTCTTCAGTACTAAATTCAACCTAATTCTTTCTCGCTATATTGCCCTTTCAAGCAATATTGGCAGGTGAGCTGAGCTTAGAGCCAAGCCCCTGAAAACCACAAGATGCTTGTGTTGCTAAACTGGGAAGACATTTAGGAAGGCAGCTGTTTAACCGAGAAGGGAGAATGGCTTTACACCTTGACTCATGGAAAGAAATATACAAAGTTACGAACGATTTGGCGTTCCCTCTGGGATAGGCTAGTTCGTAAAAGTGTGGGTTCTTATTGAGGGAAGTTATTCAGCCTTGGTTTCACTGTTAAAAAAATACAGAACTACATTTTCTACATGTGCCAGCAAGGCAATACTAATCTTTTCTGTGGAAGGTAGACTGGTTACGTTCTTATTCCCTTTTGTGCAGGTTATTTTGACAAAAGAAAATGTAGAAAAAAAATGGATTCAGAGCTGTTTTCTGGTTCTCTGTTTCTGACAGATGAACTTGTATTATTAAATAAATATTTTACTCAAATACATATATGTATTCAAATGACGCTATTATCTGTCAGATTTTAGAGAAGCGGTTTTAGATAAATAGATAAAGGGCATTTTTTGCCTAGGTACTTAAGGTGTATTCCATTTGCCTGAAATACAAACAATGCTTGACAAACAGGCATCCTTAGTATATCAGTTTCAGGAATTGGCTTTCATAAACTTCGATAAAATTAAATGTTCTCCTCCTCTTCCTTCCTTCCCCCCCCAAAAAACAGGGCGATACGGCACGGGCTCATTTTTAAGGCATTTGAAAAGAAAGGAGCGTGGAAGGCAATTCTGTAGAAATTCTGGTTGTTTTAGGCATCTTGAAGGGCTTATTAAACCTGTTAAGTCCCAATTTCGTATTTCTGTAAGAATAACACTTGGAAAAAGCGCATGTTGTCCCGAAGCTTTTGGGTTTTAAAGCCGCGCTGCTCTGGTAATCGGGGCTTCTCTCCCCAAGGGTTGAATGGTCTCCGTTTGCTTTTTGGCTAAAAAGTGGTGTTTCTCAACCTTGACACTTTTAAGGCATGTGGACTTCAACTCCCAGAATTCCACAGCCAGCAATGCTGGCTGTGGAATTCTGGGAGTTGAAGTCCACATGCCTTAAAAGTGTCAAGGTTGAGAAACATTGGGCTAAAGCAGAGGTAGGCAACCTGGGCTCTTTTATGACTCGTGGACTTCAACTCCCAGAATTCCTGAGCCAGCCATGCTGAGGGGAAAGGGAAAGGGTTCCAAGCTGAGCCATGCTGGCTCAGGAATTCTGGGAGTTGAAGTCCATGAGTCTAAGGGATTCGACTTCCGGGCCGGCCTGCAATCACCACTCCGCAAGTCGAGCCCTGGCCGCCTGGCCTCGGCGGAGAACCGGCCTCAGGCGGCTCCCCCTCGGCGCCCGGCAGCGGGGAACACGGACGGGCGGCGCTTTCCGTGCCTGGCTTCGCGGGAGGCCGAGCGTGGGAAGGCCCGACTCAAAATGGAGCCGGTGACGCTCCCCTCGGCGCGCCGGAAGCCGGGCCGGCTCTGGCGGAAAAGGCTCTGGGCGGGCGCCGTGGATTGGCCGGCGGTTGTGGCAGTCGCTCGACAGCCCAATCCCGGCGGGGGAGAAGGAGAGCACGAGGCCGGCGCCCCGCCCCTTGCGCCCGGCGCGCTTCCCGGCCCGCTTAAAGGGGCCGCGCGCCTCCCTCGCCCGAAAAGCCCCTCCCCCCGCGACCGCAGCAGTCCCCGCTCCTTGTTGGGATGCTCAGCCGAGAGTACATTTGCTCCGAGTAGTAGACGCTGCTTGGGGTTGCAACCGTCCCCGAGGCTCTATCCCCGGGGTAGTCAACCTTGGCTCTTTTATGACTGGTGGACTTCAACTCCCAGAATTCCTGAGCCAGCTTAGTTGGCTCAGGAATTCTGGGAGTTGAAGTCCACCAGTCATAAAAGAGCCAAGGTTGCCTACCCCTGCTCTATCCCATCCAGGAGTTCAAATTACTTGTCCCACCCCAGGAATCACTGGATTAGATCAATCCATATTGAATTAGAATAAACAATTTTAAGAGCCACGTTTTTCAGTTGTGATCTTCTGTAGGAAACGGGCCCTGGGGTGACCTGGGCATCCGTTTCCTTAATAAAATAATAATAATAATAAAAAGACAAAACCATGGCTTCCCCAGAAAAAACTATGCAAACGCTTCCGGTCTCTAGGATTTTTAACCAAACGGAGTAACTTCCTGGCTAACCATTAAGACAACACCGCCTGTGTAATCAAGTAGACACAAAACTAAAATTAGACACATGGAAACTAAGCAAGGAGAGAAGCAACCTAGAACTAAGGAGAAACTTCCTGACAGTGAGAACAATTAACCAGTGGAACAACCTGCCTCCAGAAGTGGTGAATGCTCCAACACTGGAAGTTTTTAAGAAGAGACTGGACAGCCATTTGTCCGAAATGGTATAGGGTTTCCTGCCTGAGCAGGGGGTTGGACTAGATGACCTCCATGGTCCCTTCCAACTTTACTATTATTATTATTACACCAGACCAATATGCTCCTTGGCAAAGTGATGGCATGAGTGGGGTGGGGAGCGGAATATTAAAATACAATCACGGCTAATCCAAATTGATCCACAACATCTAATTATCCAACTGACCCTTCAGAAGCTGCTATTGCTTGCTACCTTATTCCCCAAAGTCAATATATACCCCTTTGATTTTGTGTAAAATACACCTGAATATGTAAGCAGATATAGTAGTTGCTATAATAAAAAAAAAAAAACTAGGAAATGCAACAAACCAAAGAAATTATGCTTTGTTCACTATTTATTTAAATCAGCATCTTTAAATTATGGGGGGGGGGGAAAACTTGACCTCTTTTAACCTCCTGTGAGCTCTTGGGGCAAATTTACAGTCTTGTTTAGAAGGGGCTTTAGAAAATGGAGCCCTTTGTGAGTAGCACTTAAGTAAATGGTCCCTAGGCTTGGCATCAGTTTGGTTTCTTGTACTGCTTGGCCATCATCACTATCATCCTTGTCTCCTCACCACCCAGACTTCCTGCAGAGCAGGGCTTGAGGGGCGGCAGCGGCGGCAGAAGCACCCCCACCCCCACAAACCTGGAGTTTGTGAACTCTGAAGCCAGTAAAGTTTGCCTAGAAAAGGTTGAGTAAATAAACACCTCCTCACATTCCTTGTTTTATTGCTCCATAAATGGTGCTCAGTTATCTCCACTGACAGTAAAAAAAGAGAAAACCTTGCTCTTATTTGCTTTAGTGACCACATTTGTCCACCTGAGCCATATAGATTTGTCACCAGTAAAGGACTAAGTTTCAAAGAAAGGATGTCTTTTCTACAACCTGGTGCTATTCCCACCCACCCCAGGTAAATAATAGCCCTATTTTGCTATTCCCAGATGAACCCAGACAGGATTGCCGTCTAAGTGACTAGATTGAAGCAAAAATTACAACAGCTGCTGTATCAGTTCCTTCCTCTTTGCCTCTGGAGAGAAAGAGATGCGCAGCTCTTGAACGCAAAATTAATTTAAAGCCTGTTAGTTTGCCGGTGTGCCATTGCAGAGATGAAGGGGAGGGAGCCAGCAATTAATTAAGAGTTTTCATTTTATTGCCCAGTGTGTGGATTCTTTGCCAGGAAGTAGAATTCTTCCCATATTCAAACTTTGTATCCTTCAAAAAAACAAAAAAAGTATCCTTTCTGCCTAGAAAGGAAATGCAGGGTTGTTGGATTACAAACACAAACTAGTAACATTGTACTGGGTTGAGCAGAACATACATCGTCAGGTATTTTGCAAATGCCAGGTCAAAACAGTACATGCCGTGAAGTTTTTAGCAAGCCATATCCAGGAAGTAATTTAGTATCTTGAATGGGGGGTGGGGCTGCCGGAACAAAGTGGCTGCAGGGGGTTTGGGTGGGTACAGTGGAGCCACCTCATCGCAAGAAGGGTCAGCCCGAGATGGCTGGGCCTCAGCTCCTGCCAAGCGGTCAGGGTTCCTCAGAGCAGCTTCCCTTCGCAGCCCACTCACCCTTGAGACAGTGGGACTGGCATTGCTTCTGCCGCTGTTTCGTGGGCGCTCCGGATGCAAGAACTCAAGCATCACAGGAAAAAATGGACCAGGAATAATTTCAGTTGAGATGTTCAGGAACATCTGTGTAGCACTGAGTTGAAGATAAAGGCAGAAAAGAGGGGAGCCGACAGAGGAGATCCCAGAGAAGGGGGGTGGTTTGAGCTGATCCTAACCAGAGAAGGACTGAGGGCTTCTCCCATGGGCATCTCCAGCACCCCCAGGCATCATGGCCAAAGTGTGCACACACACACACCCCAGAAGTCCACAAAAAGGATGAGCGATTTTGCCTCCTCCCCCTCTTGAAGGGGATGGGGAAAGCTAGCCAGCATGAAGACCCCCCCCTCTCCCTGCACTCCGAGGGAGGCACAGATGCTGCACCAAAGCTGCCACAGGAGACGGGCTGCGCACAGCAGCCTGTTGGAAGCCATCTGGCAACCTCCAATTATCTAGGGAGCAACACAGAGCCCCCCCCTCCACTGGTTGCTGAAATCAAAGCTGGCAAGCTGTGGGGGGGGGAGGGAGGCGTGGGAGGGAGAGGGTCCCCTCCAGCCTGGCCTTCTTTTTCTTCCACTTGGAAGAGGCCCGATGTGCCTGAGTCAAAGAGGAGAGGGCACACAGTCCCGTCCCCCCGCTGACTCCTTGAACTGCTCTTGCTCCA